AAAATTGTATCTCTTCTAGTCAAATGAAAAGTACAAGAAATTATCTACAAAAAATTTTCCTGTTATATTTTCAAAACATGATGTCTTATCAACAAAACACAAATATGTTTCAAATTTTCAAATATAAGAAACAATCTTCAATTCAATTACATCTTATTTTCTGAGGTGAGGCTGAGACCATCAGGCCTGCTTTTCCATGCAAATGCTGATCACGCAAATTCCTCTATGCTTCTTTCACCAACTGAAAGAAAAAGGTGATATCACTCAGGCAACGAAATAGGCTATTTGAATTTTGCTTAGTGGCAGCTAAGGTTTGCTTAGTCTTTTAGGTTTGAGGACTTTTACATGCAGTTAATCTATAACATGAGAAAACAGGCTTTACTTCCCTTTCTAAGGAAGGCGTACAAACGATTTTTTTGAAGTGAATCCTTGTAAACTACAGCAAAGTGTTTTAAGGTGAAGTGAACCTGAGTTGTTATGAATCTCAAGAAGGTGAAGAAGACATGAAATATTTTTTCAACTATATACTATTTTCACCCATTATCTTCCCCTCTGGTGTGCAATCCCTGAGCTATTCTCTCTAGAATGCTCCAACACTTGGCATATAGAACAGAAGCTTAAATTAAAGATGCAATATTATCTGTGTTCTAGCCATGTCCAAGTCTGTAAGATATTTGTAAGTATATGTGACTTTCTAGTTGTGATTTCTTCAGTAGCTATAATTTAATTATCTTCTTTGGCTTTGCTTGTTCTGTTGGTGATTTAAATTACAACAACAGAATAAATGTAGGAAACACAACAACACATAGCACACTTACAAACTCCATGTTCTTGCATCCAACAACAGCTAAAGAGATAGAAAATATTGTAATGAAATTACCCAACAAATAATCAGCAGGATGGGGTGGGGTATCAATTGTGGCACTACAAAATGTGTTAATCGGTAATATTTCCATTGGAACATTTAATTAACTCTGTACTTGAAAATGGAATATTTTCAGACATCTTAAAATTTGCAATAATTAAACCTCTCTTTAAAAATGGTGAGACAAACATGACATCAAAGTATAGGCCAATATCACTTATATAAACTTTTAGTAAGATAAGGTCATTATAAACTGGCTGATAACATATTTCGAAGAAAACTCACTTCTGTCAGACTGTCAGCATGGTTTTAGAAAAGGACGCTCAACCATCACTGCAATCACAGATTTGTACAATACTATTCTAATCAAGCTTGATGATGGATTGAAGGTTAGTGGAATATTTATGGATATGTTCAAAGCGTTCGATAAAGTAAATCATACTATATACGACATGTCGACATGTCTGGGATGGCCCCATTCGAGGGATTTTCGATTAAAGTATTCTGCTACAAGAACTTCCCCGCCCATATTGTTTACTGCATTTTTTTGGTCATCCTGGTTTCTCTTGAAGTTGTTTATTTGCATCTTGGGCGTAAAGTAGCAATGCTTCGTTCATACTTTACATTTTTTGGTTTCGCCCAAACCGTCACCTTTCCCCTAGTCTTCTACGTGTATTTTACAAGCATCTATGATCCAGATTGCTGATGAGCCCAGGTTGATCGAAGGCGTACTTCGTTGCACATACCTTGGCATTGCTCACTTCTTAACCCATAAGTCCCAACGTTTCCTAAACGCAACTTCTAATATTTATACATTTTTAGACGAGTAATTCAATAAAAAATTTCTTCTTTATCACTACCACACAAAGAATAAATGCTATTTGATCAGGTTTTGCACTTTTCATTCATATCCGAGCGTAAATTTGGCTTCGTTGAATTTTGAAACTTGGAGATAATGAAAAGAATTGTGCTACCGATATTCAATTTTTAATTTAATAATTAAACAATGCTTTTTTACTGTATATTACTCGACAAACTGGTTTGAACATTCTTTTATAATTTCAGAATATTTATTAGTAGATATGTCCTTACTTAGCATTAATTTACAATAATGTTGCGTTTACGCAACTACTTAGTGGGGTATATGGTCTGAGCATGATAGAACAATTGCAACAAGAATGTAATCGTTGAGGAATAGTTATGTAACTACTGTTTCATATTTCTGTTCTTGATATAATTATCTCATCTTGGAGATAGTGTGTTATCCTGCATTATGGCATCATTGTATAAAGAATTGAAGTATTCTTTATACAGGATGCATAATTATTTATCTTGTACAAAAATTCTGCTTATTTCGGGAATGATAGATGAAAATCAAGACCTCTGTCAACTCCTGAACTTATTTCTGGAGGAAGATGTTGATCTTATTTCTGGAATATGATTGATGCTTTGCACATTACTGCTCAGTTTGACAAAATGACAGAAAAATATAGATGAGATAAAAAAGGAAAATATAGATGATCTTCTGGAGAAAAAAGAAGCTGAAGAACAAAATTTGATTGACTGTGCAATTGTCAACTCATGGAAAATATATAATATTGCGATTGAAGAAAAGATGTCACAAATATAATTTCGTTCTTACTTAACATGACTTTAATGAAATGAAGTCTGTGCAAAAGGAAGTGCATGCAATAATGAGTAAGTGAATACACAGGAGACTGAAATATCCCATTTTGGTCGACCCAGAAACACTCCCTACTAAAGCAGAACGTTATGATGAACGCTGTGCTGCCAAGAAGAGCACTTGCCCTCCGCCAGCGACGCCACTGATGATGCTATAGTTGCAGGCGAAACGTATGGACCAGTCTCCGTCGGACCACGGATTACAAACCCGGAAAGTCTAATTACGTTATGATAATGTACGGATACCAATAGAGGTGGCTTAGAGCATACATTTGTCACTGCAGTGCTTCTGACCTGATCACTCCTACCTTCCCTTGTCCTATCCTCACTCGTTAATTGCACCACTTACACTTGTACTTGACATAGAGGAATCTGTCCGGCATGAATCTTTGAGAAATTTAGCGGAGTGATGTCCCCTGGCCGCGTTGCAAGCGATGCGCAGGGTAAGGATAGTAATGGGGCTGCCATCTTAAAGCTTCTATCCCAGCTTCTCTACGTATAAACCCCTGCAGAGAGGGCTGCTACTTCCGCTCCTCAAGCCACTTCTTCAATATGTACCTAAAGGAAAAAGAAGTGTAGGACGTCCCTTGAAGAGATGGCATGAACAATTCTGAGACGGAACAGACCAAGAGGTCTAATCCTTGCTGTCGATGATGATGACACTCGTTCTTGCACTACACTACCAAACTCTTACTTCTAGGCTGTCCGGGTGACGCCGCGTCGTTGGCAGATAGGCCGACGTTTCGCCTGTCATGTCGCAGGCTTCTTCAGGGTACGGTACGGGTTCAGTACCCTGAAGAAGCCTGCGACATGACAGGCGAAACGTCGGCCTATCTGCCAACGACGCGGCGTCACCCGGACAGCCTAGAAGTAATGGACTCGAGCCGCGGAAGCCTACGTGTACACTACCAAACTCGTCCGTAGACCGGTCGGGAGCTAGGGCTGGCTCCGGTTGAGGCGGTAGTGGGAGATACCTGCTTGAAAAAACCTGCAAGCCGACAGGTAGGTCAGAGTCGGATGTCGTCATCCAACAGAAGAAAATAACCGCCACCTCTCGCGCTAAAAAGGGCGATTTCCATTTACGAGACTAATGAATTTAGCATTTGACGCGCCCGGAATCATCAGTCAATCAATCAGTCATGATGTAGAGCACGTGATTATGAGAAGGAACCAAAGGCAGAAGGACATGTAGATTGTGCAAAAGCACTGAAGTTTACAAATGTAAAAAAATGCAATGTTAATCTTCATTCACACTCTTTTGAGACGTCTCATATCAATATGAATTATTATATTCTAAGGTCCTAAAGATGCGTATACGCAACATTTTGTTGTACATTGACTATTGATTTAAAAAATATGAGGTTTTTATCATTTTCGTATAAAATTAGAGTAAATACATAGTATGATTAAAAATATTATTTCAATGTTTCGTCTTTAATGATTTAATATGGTATTACAACGAAGTAATTCGGCGAAATAATCCCTCGCTGTCCTACTTGTGTTGAAGTTACTTGCGATCAAAAATGACTAGTTTTCAAATGTTGTCAGTCATGTTTGATATTACTTTTATTCTTCATTCAAATGTTTAGTAAATGATTGGGATAGGGATCCTGATGCACAGGAAAATTTGTCCAGTTTGTATTTCTCTCACATACGGCACATACAGATTTTGTACTGCTTTTCGGTATTAAATAATATCAATGGAAATATGATACGCCCCTCGTATATAATATTATTTATAACTGATAATATGTAATTGATAACAATTTCACCGTTCTCTTAAAATGTGATTTTACTTCTCTTAAGATTGCTATTAAACTATTAAATTAACTATAACAAAAATTATTACTTGCGTTTTATAGCAGTAGTAGGCTAAAAACAGTTTCATCCGTGAGTATAAAAATCTATAAAGTAAAGAAACTACTAGTAGGTCAGTCATAAAACGTTGGTCTCATGAGTGGTGGCCAATCAAACAAATCTGACAACAAAATTTCAAATTTTATTCAAAAGCAAACTGTTTACTTTTCGAATATATACTCATCACTTTAAATATATAGTCGCTTTTGTATAATTTCAATTAGCACGTAAACTTTTCTGCACAAAAATTTATACGAACGGCCGATACTAGTATTTCAAATTTCCCGCCTGCTTGAGTTCGCAGTTTACTGTTGTGACGGTAAACTATGACTTCGACAGTGTTTCTTTAGCTATTCATAATTGAAAATTTCCTCTCACTACGCAAAATATTGAATGCGAGTGTTGGATGCGAATTTTTATCAAATTACTCATGGCTAATTCCTGATCCGTAATTATTTTACCAATAATTAACTGCTGAACGTAAGGGAAATAAATATTATCAAATTGTCGAATTTGGAGTAACGGTGATGTTGGTATGATGTGAACGTCGATCATGACATATCGATAATCTGCAAGCAATTTCTGATGTTCACCGATGATACCCGAGAACTACCGAGAATTTATAATAGGCGATGTACCCAGAGGAGTGGAACATTTGTCAGTGACCATTCGGCTTGCCGGTGCTGCACATCAACTCATTCTGCAAGAGACATTCTCTTTTTCTGCAGCAAATAAAATCAGGTAAGCAAAGTAGCAGACAATTATAATGTACCATTGAATTTCACTTTTGTTGAGTTCTGAAAATGAAACATTTCTGGAAAATTTCGGTTTGAAATTTGCGAGATTTAGAAGGGTGCACCATTGAATTTAGTATATGATGCGAAAATATTTCATTAAGATAATTTGAATTCGGTGTGAGAAATTTGTTAGACCCAAGAGATGTTTCTCTGCTATTAATGATTTTTTCAGATTTTACAGAATGTCTAAGCAATTGTTCATTGGCTTGGTATTGGCGGTAGTGGCTTCTGTTCACTGCTCCTTAGTTGCTGATGACACTAAATGTTCCAAAATTTGTGAGTGCACACAACCTCAGACAGACTGTGCCTATATTCGCTACTACACATCTGTCGACTGTAATTGCTGCAAATTATGCAATTATGAAGCACTCATTAAAGGTAAGTACAAAGGATAGTTTTACAAAACGTTTTACTAAGGAAAGCAATTAACGAAAAAGATAACTTATTTAAAATTATTCATGAAATAAATTCCAATAGTGTTCTGATTTATTGCAAAGAGCATGTTTGATAGGAATTCTAGAGAGTGTTATTAATTTATGGAATGCTAACTTTTTTATGGACATATGTATTTGTATGTGCAATTGAGAACTCACGAAATAAAAAAAATATTACATTGAAAATTTCTCATTCACAATAGCATAACGATGACATTTAATAATGAAGAAATTCATAATATTTTGGACATTCGATTCACTTTAATGCATTGAAAATTCATTGCTAATAAAGTAAATACTGCTTCTCAAGGAATCAGGACCATTTGCTGTTGCAACGAAAATTTACAATCGTTGAACAAACCGGTTAAATTCTTTGAGCACTATACATGCTTTTTGGAATATATCTAATGCATGTCACCATTGGAATTGCAAACTTCGTTTTTCTAAACGTAAAAACCTTATCACAATGAGAATTCTTTCAAATTCAATCTCCCTTCATCCAGTTTCGAGATTCTCCTGTCCGATAGGTTACCTTCGTCTGAAATCTTAATCAGCGTTTTCGATGTTTCAATGGCTTCTGTCATTTGAGTCGAAGACACTGGCCGCGTTGTTCCTCGACATGCCTCGCCCGAAGCACGGGCGTTTCGTTTCGAGGCTCAGCTTGCAACTCGGCGGCAGATTTTCTCATTCATTATATACTTAGTAATTCACTCTTAAAATAAATTGTCATAAGAACGTTACTAGAATTGCTTCCTAAAGGATAGAAGCGTCATTTAACATAATTAATTGAATGGGATACAGAAATCAAAGACAAAACGTCATCGGTATCAAGGACCCACAGAACATGAATTCTGACCACACAACGTGTGATAGAGAAAGTAATTTACTGTATACATAGGAACAATATTTATCCATCCTTTCGTTACCAATGCCCTTCAATAGGAGTTTTTCTGTCGATAATTCGTCGTTTTCCGGCGCATAACTACAATAGTTTCTCTTCTTGAGAAGTCTGGACGAGAAAGTAAAAGAGGAGAAACCTATCTCATGAGGTTCTCAACGCCTAGTTGTCCTCTAAAGTCTAGTAATTTACGAACCCGTCTGCTATCGCCACAAATAGGTTCAATGCAGTCTTAGCACTGAAGAAAGACTCACAGCCGTCCAAGACGGCTGAAATGCGAGTCGTTAACAGCGATGGCAGCGACTGCGCGCGGCTCAATTGTTCGCCGGTTGCAGCTTAAAGTTTAAATTTGTTCAAAGCACTTTTTTAGAGATTTCAAGCTTTACTTTAATGTGTATTAAAAGTATTTTGGATGGAAAATCACAAAGATATGGCCATTTTAAAAGTGTCTATTTCTATAGTTTTAATGTAAAATTAGACATACCGACTAATGTGACACACTGTTTGAGGCAAATAAGTTATGTTTTGTTATCAGGAAATTGTTCTGGAATTCCAGAACTCTATAGTTGTCATCACTTCAACTTAAAATCCATTGAAAATCTACCATTAAATAACTATTCCTAAGTTTCTAAAAATTGGAGAAAACCGCGTTTAATGGGGTTTGTGACACCCGTAAACCCATTTAAAATTCCGTTTCAATGGTGCCGATGTTGTTCTTACATTGAAATTAGCATTTTTTCTCTGAACTATTGGAATATATTTTTGATACAACCTAATGATATTACAACAATTATATTTATAATGTATATGGAGTACAATCTATGTACTAAATAGTACTGTTGTTTTGTCAAGAATATGGAAAAAGTTGCTGTCCCATAACACTACACTTACAAAGCGAATATATAAAAGCTGGTGGCGTCTTCCTTAGATGAGCCTTGCTGTCACATGATGTCAACTGTGTCGTCAGCAGAAACGAACTGCGTACGGCAAAATGAGAATTCTATCGATACGTGCAGTATGAGAATAAGTGGAATAACTCAACAAATTATTTGCCTTTTTCAGTCAAAATCGTAACTGTTTCATTGTTTTTTGTATTATTTCCGAATTCCTGGATATCTAATAGAATCAAAAACATTTTTCACGTTGCTGAGTCTCTGTAGTTTTAGCCTCATTAGCCCTCATTGGTAATTAGTAATTTAGATTTCATTAAGTGTTCTGCTGAACTCTTCAAGCACTAAAGTCTACATGTTGTAAACAGTTATTTGTAGTATGTCAGAAATATTTTAGATAAATGCCGAGAAAGAGTGACATTCTCTCAACAAGCCCATTCGATGCAACCAAAAGATGTTCTGAGATAACCCACACTTCTGGCACGACCCGGCAGTTAAACATAAAGACTCGCCTTTGTATTCCCCAACCATGAGTATCTCGGCAAAATTGTTCCCGGAAACCACCGTCCTCATGCCATTCTTTTTGCGTATTAATTCTTTAATATATTTCTCTGACTTTTCTCTGATATTTCTAGCTTTGGCCGCCACCAAGAAATGTGCAAACGTGATCAATGTCACTGTGTTTGTAGTTTGTACTCGTACTATTCATTAAATATTTTTATTTAAAACTTGTTTTTGTGGTCTACAGTGGCATTTAATATTATGAAAAATGCGAATCTTTACTTTTCTGGTGGTAATATGTGTTAAAATAGTTCAAATATAACATATTTAAAATATACGAATACAATTTTTTAAAAATCTCCTTCCATACCACAATTTGTATGTCATTTTCAGGGTCTATACTTGATGAGAGCGCATATGATCAAAATATTGCATTTATACCTGTCGTACTTCCTCACACACCGATTTGAAATCATGGCAAAGATCATTTCAGAGCCGTCTGAAGTCCAAGAGACGTAGCTGATTTGAATATTGTTTCCAGTTTTTACTTTGTCTAATACGTAGTTCACATATAGTTATGTATGGCTGCAAAAATCAATGTCGAGAGTTTGAAGGAAATACACGCTTAAGGATACAGAAAGAGTGTTTTTTAACGTACATTACTTACGTAGTATACAGAAAGCACTAATACGCTGCATCAGAAAACAGCGACAATTTATTTTCTCGCATACTACTTATGCGGAATGCAGTATTGTTGAAAGAGTATTGTAATGCTGCAGCAAAAATGTATAATTTTTCGACGGAAAAAAAATTTCTGAGTTTCATCTTCCAAAAAAAAGGATTCTTCTTATATATAATAAATTACTTCCCCTAATACGTTGTTTTGTCACGTATTCGTCAGGCTCCACGTTTTGTGGGTTCTTGAAACGGAACTAGTGGTGCTCAAAGGCACATACTTTCTCGCAACGTTATCGTTATGCAATGTTATGTCTTAATTTATGCCTTTCGCATGGTTAAAATATCATTTTATCCCGTAAATAAAGGAAGAGTTTTATATAGATTTTTTATTCAAAATTTACGTGAAATAGTAGTTAACGTAACAAGGGCGCGAAGTATGTGATTCACGAACGATCGAGTTTGTCGTCCGAGCGTAGCGTCTCGTTTTGTTTTCTTGTCCCGTTCTGTCTCGACGTCTATCTTGTCTCATTTTGCCCCTTGTCCTATTTGTTCCCAAGTCCTATTTTATCTCCCTGCCCCATTTTTTTACCTGTCCCATTTTGTCCCTTTGTCACATTTTCCCATTTTATCAGATTGTCCCATTTTTCTAATTGTCTAATTTGTCCCCCTGTACCCACTTTGTTTACTTCCCTTTTTCAATTTTGTCCATTTTGTCTCCATTGGCCCTTTTGTTCACTTGCCATCTTAGTCCTCCTTTCCACGCTTTGTTCCACTTGTCCCCATCTTCCGAAATGGAATCCACGAGCTGTGTAGTCGGTGTCATTCGTTGATTAAATATACAGCAGGAATACATACATTATTAAATGATCATAGAAACTATTTTATAACACGCCGATGCAGAAACGCAATGCGTCGAGTAAAGGAATATAAATTATATATTAAATAACTATAAATACCTTGCTTGCACAAAAGTAAATAGATTCCAGTCAGTGTGATAACGCTATTGTTTGTAAATGATAAACAAAGACGCCGTCAAAGGCGAAAGACAATTGAGAATCGTTACAAATACTTCGGTCAGGCTTCGCGATGTTACGCACACTGTGAAAAAAGGTGCTTTTTCGCATACTGAAAAAAGCACGAGAAACCGTGTTTCGCGCATGTCATGTTAAAAATATATTTCTGGAATTAAATCCAGTGCATAAGGTATTCTCTGTATTCACGAACATATCCGATGTGCATTTTAGCATGGAATATTTCCGGCTGTAGAGTTTTCTAAGTAGTTACTACAAATATACAACAAAAACAATCAAAGGAACATTACCATATTTCCATATTACTTAATAAAATTTTACAAGATTAGTGAATTAATTCTATCGTGCTAAAGCAGACCTAATATAAAATAACAATAATAATTCCAAAAAAATAATTTAATGTCAACATATTCTAAAAAAATTATAATTAATATTATTTACTCTATTTTTATTAAAAATTATAAAAAATTATTTACTCTAATTTTATAATTTTTGGCATTCTAAGGGAAAGTCTCCAGGACTGTTGCAGCAAATTCGTTCCAATTTTGTATTGTTCTGTTTTCAAATGAGAATTTACCTACATCTGTTCTCTGTTTCCTTTGCCGCATTTTAGAACCATAATTCTTCCGCGCGATGTATGTGGGTTTTGATAATCTTGCCCGCACTTCCCCCCACGGATGATCACCGCGTACTGATTTGAATAACGCACAAAGACGCGATTTATCTCTGCGTTTTTCCAAAATTTCCCACGATACAAATTCAGAATTAGATCGTCTCTCCTACAAAATGTTGCAGCATGTTTTTTGTACTTTTTTGAGAGATTTTATTTGCCCTAAACGTCATGGGTCGCAACATATGGAACCATATTCCAATATCGGCCGTACTAGAGATGTGTACCCTAATTTCCTTGATTTTCTGCTTCCTTTCCTAAGCACTCTAATCACAA